GGCTTCATGTCCAACAGGGGGCGCCAGAACGTGGCCAGTTTCTTGACCAAAGACCTGGGCTTGGACTGGAGGCTGGGAGCCGAGTGGTTTGAATCCTTGCTGGTAAGGATCAAGCCGATTTCCCCTCTTCTGTGGGTCTACTTTTATTAAGGGACATCCAGGATTTAGGGATAAGTGTTTCAAGGAGGGACTTGACTGAAGCTAGAGATGGGCACGAACCGGTGGTTCGGGTGGTTCGTACGCCGGTTCGTTTATCAGCCGAGCAAATGTCCAGCACTTTGAAGTCTAGCCTCCTCTGGCCGGCGCCCCACTTGGAGGCAGTGGCCGGGCTTCCCTGCCCCACTGCACTGCCTCCCGAGTGGGCGGCTGCTGGAGGAGGTGGGGTTTTGAAGCGCGAAACACCTGTTGGGCCAATAAACGAATTTGCACAAACCAGTGAATTTTTTTAAAAAGTTCCAAAAGAAGGTGCCAAGAGAGATTTGGAAACAAATTTCTCCTAAGGGAGGTGCAAAGAGTTTAGAAACCACCTCCCCGTGAAGGTGGAGAATAGAAAATGGATTGGATTAAACACCCAAACCAACATTTTTAAAGAAAGCATTGGTTGTGTCTTTCCATATCTGTTTCTCACATCCGAGGTGGATTACGATGTCTGCAGCAACTACGGGAACTGGCTCTACAGCGCTGGCATTGGCAACGACCCAAGAGAAAACCGGAAATTTAACATGATCAAGCAAGCTTTAGATTATGACGGCAATGTAAGTTTTCCGCTGCAGTGTTCGCATGCGGTGCTACGATTTGGAGGGGTTTTTTCCCCTTTCTTCCCGTTCAGTTGAACTAAATCCCAATTCCACCTCTTCCCAGTCTTGCTGATCTGTTTTAATTGTTCTTTTGAGTTATCTTATGTGTCAAGTTAATCTGTTTCTGTGTATTTAACCATCCTTAGTTTGGTTAGGCTCCATTTAGAGTCCCTGTGTCCAGTTCCGGACACCAGACTTTTAAGAAGGATGCCAACAAACTGGAGCAAGTTCAGAAAAGAGCCAGAAGGAGGATTGGGGGACTGGAAGCCAAGTTTGATTCCCCCACTGGGCTGGAGTTGATGATCTGTAAAGTCCCTTTCAACTCTGCATTTCTAAGATGATGATGAACTGAGGCAGAGATGGGAAGCATCACTGTTTTGAACCCGCAGCTTCAAGAAAGATTTTTTTTTTACCTCTAGCCATGTTAGCTGTGGGTGTTAAGTCAATTTTCCTGTCTCGGACTGGCATTTAAACTTTGAATTCTTTTTTTAAACAAGGCATGCCATGGGAGTGCCATGGGAAAAGGAATAATTTTTTTTTTCCTTTTGGGAAGCAGGGGAGATGATCAAATTTTTGCCTTACTGGTGGGAGCAAGCTTGGAAAGCGTCCTGCGTGGACTCCGGTTCCTTTGCTAACTGGGGGGATTCCGGGAGTTGTAATACGGAAAAGGAACTTTTATCGCGCTTCAAAGGGAGTCTGAGAGAATTCTTTACCTTCCCAGGGCGATTACGCCAGGCTCTGGGTTCCAGAATTACAGCGCATCAAGGGGGGCAACGTCCACACCCCCTGGGCCCTGAGCCAGGGCGCGCTCTCGCAAGCTGGCGTTGAGCTCGGCACGACATATCCTCTGCCGGTGGTGACCGCCCCGGAGTGGAGCAGGCACCTCAACCAGAAGGCGGCAGTAAGTAGCCCCATGGGAAGTCATCCGGCCACGCCGGGTGACCAAAGGGCACTTGGAAGATCTTGAGACCCCGGATGCCATGGGAGAAACATCACCCTGCCAGAGGCGGAGCGGCTTTTTCCCGCTGGGCTTAGTCCCCCTTGCCCCTTCAAAGGAGCACATGCTGGATACAGACATGAGACGGAGTGGTGTCTTGAACTGGGAACTTAATGGGTTCCGGATGATGGTTGTAACTAAAGTTGGTCGTAACTCAAAACACCATTTCCCATAGTTGAATGGGGCAAATTTTTGGTGTCCACAGGACATGTGTGTCTCCCGGGGCCCATAGGGACACAGCGGCAGCACTGCCATTATCAGCAAACTCATTATCCAATCCCTCCCATTTAAAAAAAAAAATACTCAAGAAGTCATCTTATGCTCTTTTGCTATGTTCTGAGCAAACATGTACCCGAGAATCCTCCACCACTGAAAAAAGATTGTACCCTGTTTCCCCGAAAATAAGACCTAGCCTGAAAATAAGCCCTAGTAGGATTTTTCAGGATGCTCATCATATCCCAAAAATAAGCTCCAGTGAAGTGAAACCTTGCCCTCCACCCTTGTGCAGCAACCAGAAAAAACGACTGTAAAATTAAACATCCCCTGAAAATAAGCCCTAATGTGTTTTTTGGAGCAAACATTAATATAAGACCCTGTCTTATTTTTGGGGAAACACGGTATTTGTTTCTTAATCAGCAAAACCCAGTTACATAAATTTATGCCAGCATAACTAAAAAATAATAATTCAGATTAATTACGTAAAAGTTTTCTATCTCCCTCTTGGAACTGGGGAAACGTTTTGAAGTTTAGATGGATGGATGGATGGATGGATGGATGGATGGATGGATGGATGGATGGATGGATGGATGGATGGATGGATGGATG